TCTTCCCAGTGACCGACACTGTGACGGTTCGTAGTTTGATATTTGCGTTGTTTTCTGAGTTCCTATTAATTGGGAGATATTTCAAAGACAATTGCAAGACGAATTTTTACGTCGCTTACCAGTCTCCAAGCTCTCAAACCTTCCTCATTTCAGTATAAAACGGATCGGGTCAAGGAACATCCGATTTNCCGGAATATTCAACAGTCTGGTGTTCAAAACCAGAAGACACTGCAATGGCAACTAGTTCTAGATTTCCTGTATTATTTCTTTCTTAAAAATTTTCCGTTCCTAGTGCATTGTGAAAGAGGTGATTTCGTGATTTTACCATTCAGTAATGTGTTGATTGCACAACCTATGACGTTATTGCCTGAGTGCCCCATACTGGATACCATAACACACGGCTGGTTGACTTGATTCATGTCGGGATAGATTTGCTTAAGCCAATATATCCGCGCTGGTTGATTCGGTGGTTGCCTGGCCAAATCCCGACTGCATGTCATGGGAGTGCTTGCTTCCAAGCGCGACGGAAATAATTGTGATAACCCACAAAGAGCACTGGACAGCTGTGTGCATGATGTTGACAGTCAAGTCAAGTCAAGTAACTGCTTTATACACCTCTCAGGATGGATATTAGGTTGTTTGTTTTGCTTATGTGCATGTCCGAAGATGTATCCACGTGCTTACCGTAGTCACTGCTAAGAGCAATAAACGGAGTTGCTTCCTTATTGCGCTTTCCAACCATTACGAGCAAACTATCTATGAACACATTTTGGAACTAAATGAGTAGTCCACTCTGGTGTTGACATGCATGAAGTTTCTATTTGACCACAGTCAAACCCTCTCTCATACGCTGATCGAAAACTTTTACGATTTACAGGTAGCCTGTTTTGGGAATTTAATACCTCGCGATTGCTGAAGTAGGATGGTTGCGCCGTATAACTCAAGGAGGCAATAATACCATCATACTGAGCAACAAACTTCAAAATTAATTTGTTTTTTAAGGCAAAGCTGAAGAGCAGATGGGACGAAGAGTACCAATTTTGAAGACTGAAAACTGGTACAATTTCAGGGTTACCAAAAAAGATTTACTAGTTGCCAAACGTTGAGAGCCTGCGCCTTTAAGGCTCATCTACTTCCTGTTTCTATAACCAAGAGGCTGTACAAACCAGGATGTCCGTTTCGTACCACATTATGGATGAACCGTTTCGTGTTGAAAAAAATTAAGTTCATTTGCGAAGCAACATTAAAAGAATCACTTCAAGGTCCGTGGAGAAAACGCTGTTTTCCAAAAAATGCAGAAGTTCTCAATCTTTATTATGAAATCAGCGTTCTTTTTATCTAGATATTCAATAGAGGAACTAATATAACAGCTATTTTACGGGAGGCGTGATCAATGCGGCACAAACCACATCCAAATTCAGTTAAGTTCTCAAGTGAGATTTTGGCTTATATTAGAGGCCTACCACTAAAATCTGAAAACGGATGGTACAACTGTACGCGGGTGAGAGGATCCCAGCACACTGGTAAGTCTAGAAACCAGCTGTTTTTTCAGCGCAAATGTTTGCTCACTGACTTGAGACAAGCTAACTGGCAATCGCATTGATAACACGCGTCAAGATGGGTCACCGATTGAACCTAATCTCGATCCTCAGGGGACTCAACAAACAAATCCTAAACGGCATTCACTACGACACTTTCCCCAACCTGATGAGACTTTTTGACCAGCAAAGCATAAAAAGAGATACAAAACAGATACTCAACTGCTCACTTACAACAAACTTCTAAACGTTAGACTGTTAAAAAAATTTCCCTTCACTTTGGCAAATCTTGAACCCATTCGTACAGCTTCAAAATGTACTCTAAAAGTACTCTGTGAAAGATACATTCAGATAACTGAATAACACCCCGATTAATAGGCTGCATCATACTTTTGTGTGAAAACAAATTTGATATCTGGCATGTCGATATACGCACTGCGAGGCTTGGTGTTGTCCACCAGAACTAGAATGCTGAGTTTTTGAAGATTCATTCGTCTAATGGATTAAAATAAATAGTTCGACCATAATCCTGAGGTCATCCAAGAATTTCAGTAACTGGGACATGAGCATGGTAGAGATTTCCCACAGGTCCCACAAAGACATCGAGGTTTCNTACTTCCTAATTACCAACCAGATTCGACAGGCCACAAATCAGGTGTAACTTTCTGGAGATAGAGTTCAGCGCAATAAAATCGGGGCGGACGTCACCGAGAGGAGCATATTTCACGACAGGACTTTTTGATTGAAGACTTACATGGAGTTATTGTGCAGCTTCAGTAGAATTTAAAAATCTGGTGGGCTGGGTCTATACATGAATTCGGATATATTACATATTGTTGTATGAACGCAAGAGGGGACATACGAACATCACGAATCAAACAATAACAATCGGGAAACGAATAATCANCACCGATAAAAATAAACCAAGTTGTGCATTTATTCATTCATTCTTCTATATAACATAACTATACAAAAGATTGAGAATCAATTTTTTCTGACGAAGATTTTCGTTTGCAATGAGAACAATTAGTAGACGTACAAGGCAGAGCTGTAGCATGATGAATAGAACTGCATTGGGAAATTTGGATCAACGTGCTAAGAGTGACCTGTCGCAACATAGTGGACTTACCAAGCGTAGAAAAAGTGTCGTCACATTTACGCCGGATACGCAGAGTCGGTGTAAAATAAATCCCAGCCAACAGCCACTCGTGCATCTGTGCGTCGCTAAACGTACCCTGGGTTCTACCCTGTGGATCTTCGTACAACCACATATGTTCATCTGGGCGATCTGCACCGTCTGGTCGATGAAATCCACGACTCTCATCCAGTACGGAATAAATTTCCGGGGCATTCAATCCACGGGAATTAGTCTGATCGAAGTACATGAAAGAAACAATAGGATTCGCAACTGAGAAAAGCAGTGTTTATAAACTATCACTGCCACCACACCCACTACAATGTTCATGACCCCACAACCCACGACTGTTTCATTATCAACCCGTGGAAAAGCAAACAGCAATACTGACAGTGCTATTAATCTTGTCATTCCTTATGGACCACTGACTAAAAAATACCACGGAAGGGGAATTGATCGATCGAAGCCATTTGGGGGAATGAGCAAAGGAGAAAGTGTAACAGATCAGTGGTGAGATTCAAACAAGTGATCACTATGGGGATGCATGAGTTTTTCATATTATTCTAAAGGTACTGCTCCAAACGAGAGAACGAATACATCCTCGGATATGGCTCATTACAAAATTACCCTTAAACCGAAAAATTGCAAGTATGTATACCGTCCAAAGTCAAGGATGACCACTATTATAATCATGATCGTGCGACCTATATGACCGAGTCTCCTGGTTTTCACAACCTTACA